AGAGAGAGAGAGCGAAAGAGAGAGAGAGAGAGAAAGCGAGCGAGAGAGAGAAAGAAAGAGAGAGGGAGAGAGATAAAGAGAGCGAAAGAGAGCGCGCGAGAGAGAGAGTGCATGAGATAGAGAGTGAGAGAGAGCGAAAGAAAGCGCGCGCGAGAGAGAGCGCATGAGATAGAGAGCGAGAGAGAGGAGAGAGGGAGAGAGACCCTCGGGCCCTTCTTGCTCGCCCGTGAATTCTTTTGGATATTGAGATACATGAAGTTGTTGTGTTCAGTAATTTCTAAATGATGAGTGCAAGGGGCATTTGTATTGTTAGCAAAGTGATTTTTTTTTTCTGTGACATATTTGCACTGAAATTGTATCTTCCCTTTTGGTCCCCAGATATAGCGCGATGACCGTTCCTGGCACGCCCGGGGGCGTCAAGGGAGCGGCGACTGGTGAGCCCACAGGAGCGGCGACTGGAGAGCCCACAGGAGCGGCGACTGGAGAGCCCACAGGAGCGGCGACTGGAGAGCCCACAGGAGCGGCGACTGGAGAGCCCACAGGAGCGGCGACTGGAGAGCCCACAGGAGCGGCGGCGGCTGAAGAGCCCACAGGAGCGGCGACTGGAGAGCCCGCAGGAGCGGCGGCTGGAGAGCCCACAGGAGCGGCGGCTGAAGAGCCCACAGGAGTGGCGACTGGAGAGCCCACAGGAGCGGCGGCGGCTGAAGAGCCCACAGGAGCGGCGACTGGAGAGCCCGCAGGAGCGGCGACTGGAGAGCCCACAGGAGCGGCGACTGGAGAGCCCACAGGAACGGCGACTGGAGAGCCCACAGGAGCGGCGACTGGAGAGCCCACAGGAGCGGCGGTGGCTGAAGAGCCCACAGGAGCGGCGACTGGAGAGCCCACAGGAGCGACGACTGAAGAGCCCACAGGAGCGGTCTCGTCGTCGAACGGCGCATCGGACGATTTCCAGGGCCAGACGCCTCCTCCAGAGTCTTCGCTTCACTCTGACGTTGTGGTGAACGGAATTGCAGATGGAAAGGGATTACCCTGCCGCAGCCAAGCCGAAGGAACCGAGGCCGAAGATTCATCGCTGCCCCTGCTGGCGCCGTTGATGGTAGCGGCGCGGACGGAGAGTGGACATGCGCTGCCCCCGACCACGCCCCCGACCACGCCCCCGGCAACACCCCCAGCGAAACCTCCAAGAGTCCCCGAAGTTAATACTGACATTGTTCTTCCACCGAACGCTCCTCAGGAAATTCCTCCGGATGCTGGTTGCGCTGAGGAACGCGAAGGAACGACAGCTTCACCGTCAGGCGAATCGGCAGACCAATCTAAATGTGGCTTAGGTACTGAGGAAACAACGCCCGATTCCCTTAAGCATGCAAGTCTGAATGAAGAAGCAGGGAGTTCCCGATGCATTGATGTTACTTCCAATGAAGCACCTTTGACCGTGCTTCATGCCCCTAACCTCTCCGTTGATGAAAGTGCGAGTGAACCCAGCATAGACTCCGCTTCCTTTCCTAGTGGAGCCTGTAAGTTAGACGATCCTCAGCTGCCTGAAGTATCCGCCCCTTGTGACGACACGAACGACAGTAACCTGTTGCCCTCACCACTGAGTACCTCCTCCCACAGTCTTGGAAGCTACCGATCGTTACCCCGGCCTTCCCCTGCCCGCCGATCCTCCCGAGTGGGCAGCGTCAACCTAGCGCAGCCCTCGTCAATGAGCAACTCCTACGACGGCAGCGAAAGGACAATGGAGGAGAAAGGGGCGACCGCCCACTCTAGTCACGCTTCCTCCACCGTAGGAGGTTCGCTCCCTTCCTCCCCCTCAATACCCCGCCGCACCCGCCGCGCCCACCCCGTCCCCGCCGCCCGCTCCCTGCAGACGCTTTCCTCCAGTAAGTGCTCCTTACCTTGGGCCGCCACTCGGCCCTTGCCGCTCCCTCTGTGCGATTTGTGGGGATGGATTTAGACACGTCCGGAAGTAATACACTGAAGTGTTGTTTGCACATTGTCTTTTATTAAGAAATTGATAGTTTTACTGTTCAGAAGGGGCGACGCTTAGTAAAACATGTATTGGATATATATCTGACTAAGTGCCCTAGGCATTTCTTGTAGCAATTCATCAGTAGAACGTGTGTATTAATATAAGGATGATTCAAGAAACACTAAATATTATTTTTTTTCTTTCACATTTTTTTTTGCCTAATTCAAACATTAATGTAAACAGTCAGTACAGTTATATGCATCAGGTATATGGTTTTATAGGCCTCAGTGACTGAGATATTACAATGTGGTCTACTAGCTTCATAGTATAAGTATGAGCACAATTTAAGCACACGAGAAGAGAACACAGTGTTGTCCCAGATTTGATGAATAGAAAACAGTGTGGGCTTCTGTTATCCTCATGCATTTATATTTATTGCATTCGCAGATACAGATGTACACATCCTGTTGTGAACACACATGCATTCGTAAATATATTTTTGTACGTACATAGGTTTATTATATAAGCATA